GGTGAGCCCAAACGGCATCACCACGAACTCGTAATGTCCATAACGAGTTTGAAACGCGGTCTTCTCCACATCCTCCTCTCTGACCCTGACCTGATGATACCCAGACCTCAAGTCTATCTTGGAAAACCAAGATGCACCCTGCAACTGATCGAAGAGATCGTCTATCCTCGGGCGTGGGTAACGGTTCTTCACCATTAACTTATTCAACTCCCGGTAATCAATGCACATCCGGTGTGAACCGTCCTTCTTCCGGACAAAAAGAATCAGATCTCCCCATGGAGAACTGCTAGGTCGAATGAACTGCTTGCCCAGCAGTTCCTGTAGCTGTGACGACAGCTCCTGCATCTCTGGTGGTGCCAATCGGTACGGTGCCTTAACGATAGGGGCCGCACCTGGCACCAGGTCAATCCTGAACTCGACCTGCCTCTCCGGAGGTACTCCGGGTAATTCCTTCGGGAACACATCAGCAAACTCTCTAACTACCGGAACCTCTGAAACTGATGTCTGATCTCTCACCCGCGTATCTGCCACATACGCTAGATAACCCGCACACCCGTGATGAATGTACTGCCGAGCCCTGGCAGCTGAACAAAACACTGATCCCACTCTGGCGCCCTCGCCATATACAATCAGTTCTCCCCCACTTGGGGTTCGAACTACCACTCGTTGGCCCTCGCAGTCAATCATAGCACTGAACCGACTGAGCCAATCCATGCCTACAATCACACACACCTCCCCCATGGGGATCGGAATCAAATCTATCGGAAGGGGCACCCCGAAAATCTCCAACTCACATCCTCGGTAAACCGCAGAAGTAGAAACCCCGTGTTCGTTGGCGATAGACACTCGCAACGGACACTCTAACTCGCCTACTGGCACACTGAACTCCCTACTAAATAACTGAGATACGAAGGACCGACTCGCCCCCTAGTTAAATAACACCAATACGGGTAAGGAGTTTACTAAAAATGTACCTAATCACAGGCACAACGGATAAGCATATAACAGACATAATAAGTGAGATAAAGGATAAAAACATACCAGCAACCACATCTGGTGCTGCTCTGGCCTCCTCCGCTGTAAGCTGGAAGGCACGTCCCTGAGCCTTCGGAGGCTCTACCTTAGCTGGCCTCCCATCTACAATCCTCAAGGTAGCTGGAGCGGAAGTCTGTGCTGGCTTAGCGGCAAGCAACAGACAATTGGCCTTCATATGGCCAACTTGATCACAATGATAACACAACCTCATACTCGAAACCGGGACGGGTTGGCGACAATCCTTCGCATAATGTCCCTCCTTGCCACACTTATGGCACCCACTACCAGCTCGACAAACCCTAGAATGACCCTTACCGTACTTTCCACAAGTGCGGCTCTGCTGGCTCCCAATCCTAGAATCAGCGGTCTTAGACCGCTTTGGTGCCGGCTGTGACTGTGCCGGGGCCGTTCGCTGCTCCCTTAGCTGCGTCTCAACCTCCAACTCACGCCGCCTAGCGGCCTGCTGCAACTCCAATAGAGTATCAAATCATTGTGTGGCGACAAACTGACGGATGTCAGTCTTGAGCATGCTCAGATAACGTGTCATCTAAGCCTGCTCTGATGCGAACTTCGGGCAAAACATCGCCCTCTCCGTGAATACCCGGGTGATCTCCGTCACCGACTCTCCATTCTGTCTCAAACTCAAAAACTCCTGAGCCAATCGTTCCCGCTCAACCCGAGGAATGTATCGGGCACGGAACATTATCCCTGAACTGCTCCCAAGTAACAACAGCTCTCTAATCATAAGTGTACGACCCTGTCGTCAACATCCACCAGTCCTTGGCCCCGAGCCTCAGCAGGTTCAGGGCACATCTGACCTTCTGGTCAGTAGGACATGAACACGTGAAGAAACAGCCCTCCACGTCAGATAACCACCTCATAGCTCTAATCGGATCCTGGGTACCATCGAATGTCAGGGGCTTCGTGTTTTCGAAATCCCGGTACTGGAAGCCCCGACTGGCTCCACCTCCTCCTGTCGCTTTTACAGCCGATGCAGCTGCAGCGGCAGCCGTCCCTGCAAGGGTTGCGTAACGCTCGTCAAAGTACTCAACCATAGCGGTCTTAATAGACCCAAACATCTCCGGTAGCTGAGCCCGGAACATGGCAGCAACCTCATCATGCAGGATTTCTCGAATCCTGGCATCCAACTCCTCTGTACCCATCTGCACTACAGGCTCCGGTGCTATTGGCCCCTCCTGGCCTCTGTCCCCTAATCCTGATCCCGAACCGGATCCATCCACAAAGCACCTCGTCATCACCATTCTGAAATACACCACAAAATATCAGATAATCCATATAAATAACTGGGAGCCAACTCCCTACTAACCCTAGGGGTTGTAACTTACTTGATACACGTATGGTTCATGTGCTTTCAGTAGTACGGGCCCATACTACCTTCCACACCTACCCATATTTGTCTCAAGTATCATCACAATGCCCTAACAATATACGTAATCATAACGAGCGCTCAATCCTCACTCCTAGAGGAATGCTAAATATCACACAACTGGCCTCCCGGCCTCACACAACCCACCCATCCCTGAAACTTCCACCAACCCTTCAGCGCCAGTGTATGCTAGCCATTCATAACGCTGGATCATATAGACTTTCGAATATCCAATCCTACCCTAATCCCTAATATAAACAGAACATAAGGCCAAATAAAACATTCTTAGGCTATAAGATCTTAATTATGTACGACCGTGATGTATACACTAAGCAACTACAGTAATGATGTCAATTTCATATAAGGAAAACCCTAGGCTATCAGGCATCATACCATCAGGAAAATTCTACCATGCAATTCCTGATGATCCCTAGCCTAGTACTAGCATGTTGTTCTATCACATTGCAATATCAAATAACTGTATGGTATTTTGGGATCTACTTTCTGGCTCCGGCTGATCGTACACTCTGCATCCTCCTTTACTTATTTTGAAAACCTTTTAAAAAATTTTGTTCTGAAAATCCTTTCCTTGGTTTGAGACTGGAGTTACACGAGTGTTCCTCCAATTCACTCAAACCAAGGCTCTGATACCAACTTGTAACACCCAAAAATTTAAACCAATTAAAACTTTTAAAAACATTTCAAACCATTAAAAATCATTACAACTTTGTTTTCAAAATATATATTATCAGAGTATCCCAGAAACATAAACATAAATATGAGGAGCTGTACGATCACGCCTTCGCCTTGCCGCGATCCCCTAATATACCTGAAACAATAAACTGAAACTGTAAGCCCGAGGCTTAGTGAGTTCCCCAAAACACCGATACACTGCACATAATACAAATACCAATAACAACATGTAATGGGTCCACAGCTTTACAGACTGGAATACCCCTGGGCCCACAGTGTGAGTCTGGATTGCCTACCGGGACGACAGCTCACATCTGGTTTGCCATCGAGCCCACAGTACTAGTCTGGATTGCCTACCGGGCCCACACTTCGTATCTGGAATGCTCCTAGGGTTTGTTGGTCACCGCATGAAGCAGTACATCCTTAACCCATCCCACATAACATATCAACATATAACATAACTACTGAACATGCAGATAAAATCGTATAACAACACAGGTAGTCCTACAGATCTACCTAACCGGATAACTACTAGCATGCAACACTAACTCATACTCAACTTCTAACATTGCTAGTATAACATATCCAATGGGCCGGCCTTGGTGCCTTAGACCCCTTAGTATAGTGAGGTAACTCACCTCGCAAGTGTCGTCTGAAACTAGAAAGCTCAATTCCCGGATCACCAATACGAACTCCACCACCTATAGTTATCATAAAATCTTTTTTCATAAATTTCCAAATTACCAGAATACCCTCAGAAGTCAACTGGTCAACCCTTGGTCAAAGTCGAAGTCCACAGTCAAAATCAACAGTCCATGTTGACTCGAATCGCCGAGTGTAGTTCGCCGACTCGTCGAGTCCTTCCTGAACTCGAGAAGTCGTGAAATCCTTGATTGGCTCGTCGAGTTCCCCTTCAACTCGCCGAGCTCATACGTGTCCAAGAAGTGGGAGAAATCCTAGCCGACTCGCCGAGTCTTCGAACGACTTGCCGAGTTTAAGGCAATCTTCAACGGACTTGCCGAGTTTGTTCATCGACTCGACGAGTTCATGACCATTTTCATATGACACGCCGAGTTGACTATGCAACTCGCCGAGTCCTTGCAAACCTTCATCCATGCAGACACTTTTTAAGCCCTGTCAAGGTTCCAAATTACAGATCCAAGCTTCCAAAGCATGATTAACACGTAAAGTTGCAAACTTTACACACACATGCAAGGGCCCTAAAGGCTCTAAATGACCATTCTAAGCTTCTAATCGGGCTTTACACCTTAGGAGAGTCTCATCCTTGTAAGAACTGGAAACTTTATGGACTTAGGACTCAAAAGAAGTTCAGATCTAAAGTTTCAACTTCAGATCTAGCTCCCATACCAAAAATCCCTTCATGAATAACTAAAGAAAGCCCTAGTTTCCACATATGAATGGTTCTAGAAGAAAAAGAGGTTAAGGTAGGTAACCGTTTTACCTCCAAAACGTGCCCCACACTGAAGTGGAATCTGAATCCACACAGAAGTCTTGATGCTAGCCTCTTGATCTACAAATTTCCTTCCCAAAAGTCACTTCCCAAAGCTCCAAAACACTCTCTAAGCTCTCACTCACGGAAATTAGGGTTTCTGTGTCTCAAGGGGTGATAGAGGACAGCGGGAGGCGCTAATGGTCAAATATATAAGGTGCAAAAACCCTGAAAATTAGGGTTTATGCTGCCAGCTCCTACTTGTCGAGTCCCCCATGCCGACTCGGCGAGTCACTCATTAATTGACGCGTCCTGGCTCGCTGCTACTCGACGAGTCAACGCGTCAACTCGTCGAGTAGACTTTAAAACATGAAATTTAAATGGAGTGATAATTATACCTGACGGTTGGGATGTTACAATTCTCCCCCACTTGACTTAGACTTCGTCCTTGAAGTCTACTGCAGCGAATAACTCCGAGTAATGCTCCCGCATCTCAGCCTCCGACACCCATGTCCACTCGGATCCCCTCCGATGCTCCCATTGTATCTTCACCAATGGAACCTCCTTGTTGCGCAGGACTTTCACTTTCCTTTCCAAAATGGAAATCGGATTTTTAATATACTTCAGGTGCTCATCAACCTGAATGTCATCCAGTGGCACCACTGCCTCCGGGTCCACAATGCACTTTCATAACTGCGAAACGTGGAAAGTACTGTGGATCCGACTAAGCTCCTCCGGCAGCTCTAACCTGTAAGCCACCTTGCCAACCCTGGCAATGATCCTGAACGACCCAATATACCGGGGACCCAATTTTCCCCTCTTCCTAAAGCGGATCACACCCTTCCAGGGCAAGACCTTCAGGAGTACCATATCGCCGACCTGAAACTCTAACTCGGATCGGCGTCGGTCAGCATAACTTTTCTGCTGACTCTGAGCGGTCTGCAGCCGCTGTCTAACCTGCTGAATCTTCTCGGTAGTCTGCAAAACCACCTCCGTCCGACCCATCACCCTGTGACCAACCTCACCCCAACATACCGGGGTGCGACATCTCCGTCCGTACAACAGCTCGAATGGCGGGGCGCCAATGCTGGAATGATAGTTGTTGTTGTAGGCGAACTCTGCAAGCGGTAGGTGGGAATCCCAGCTCCCACCGAAATCAATGACACACGCCCTCAACATATCCTTGAGGGTCTGAATGGTCCGCTCGCTCTGACCATCAGTCTGCGGATGGAATGTTGTGCTGAAGTGCAACCGCGTGCCCAGCTCCTCGTGAAACTTCTGCCAGAAACGGGATGTAAACCTGACATCCCAATCGGAGACAATGGAAACGGGAACCCCATGGCGAGACACGATCTCGCGAACGTACATGTCGGCCAACTTCTCAGCCGACAAACTCTCCCGAATCGCCAAGAAATGGGCGCTCTTGGTCAATCGATCCACGATGACCCATATAGCATCAAATCCCATTTCCGTCCTCGGCATCTTGGTAATGAAATCCATCGTGATCTATTCCCATTTCCACATACGAATCTCTAGAGGCTGCAGCTTGCCATGCGGCCTCTGGTCCTCAGTGTTGACCATCCTACAGGTCAAGCACCTCTCGACATACCAAGCGATTTCTCACTTCATGCACGGCCACCAATAGTTCAAACTCAAATCCCGGTACATCTTGGTGGCCCCCGGGTGAATAGAGAAATGAGACTTATGAGCCTCCTCCATAACCGTCTGCCAAACCCCACCAGACATCGGTACCCAAACCCGACCGCATCGGTTCAATAATCCCCGACTATCCTGCTTAAACCTGGTATTCTCACCCTTGATCCTCTCCAGCTTCCAGTTCTCCGATCGCATGCCCTCAACCTGGTCATCTCTAATCAAACTCACAAGCAGATTGTCCACTGCTATCCTCATACATTTCGTTGGGGTGGAAGAGTCAACTGACTTGCGGCTCAAAGCATCCACAACCACATTCCCTTTACCAGGATGGTAAAGGATCTCGCAGTCGTAGTCCTTAACTATGTCCAGCCACCTGCGCTGCCTCATGTTCGGGTTCGACTGATCCATGATGTGTCTCAAACTCTTATGATCCGTGTAAATTGTACAGCGGTCCCCATAAAGGTAATGTCTCCATTTCTTGAGGGCGAACACCACCGCCCCCAGCTCCAAGTCATGCGTAGGGTATCTCGTCTCATGCGGCTTCAATTTCCGCGACGCATAAGCTATCACTCGTCCTCTCTGCATGAGGACCGCCCCTAACCCTGTGATGGATGCATCACAGAACACCACAAAATCCTCAACTCCCTCCGGGAGTGTCAAGACTGGGGCCTCGCACAACCACTGTCGGAGAGTCTCAAATTCCCTCTACTACTCATGGCCCCACCGGAAATCCACCGCCTTCCTCGTCAGACGAGTGAGGGGTACCGCAATCTTGGAGAAGTTCTGTATGATTCTCCGGTAGTACCCTGCCAATCCCAAAAAGCTCCTGATGTCTGAGGGAGATTTCGGAACCTCCCAGTACATGACTGCCTCGATTTTGGGTGGATCGACCAAAATCCCATCCTGGTTAACGAGATGCCCGAGGAATTGGACCTCTCGTAACCAAAACTCGCACTTCGAGAACTTGGCATAAAGCCGCTCTCGCCTCAGAACTCCCAGCAACTCCCTAAGATGCTCCTCATGCTGCTCTCGGGTCTTGGAATACACCAAGATGTCGTCTATAAACACTATGACCGAGCGATCGAGCATCGGTCTACAAACCCGATTCATCAGGTCCATCAACACTGCTGGCGTGTTGGTGAGCCCAAACGGCATCACCACGAACTCATAATGTCCATAACGAGTTTGAAACGCGGTCTTCTCCACGTCCTCTTCTCTGACCCTGACCTGATGATACCCAGACCTCAAGTCTATCTTGGAAAACCAAGATGCACCCTGCAACTGATCGAAGAGATCGTCTATCCTCGGGAGTGGGTAACGGTTCTTCACCATTAACTTATTCAACTCCCGGTAATCAATGCACATCCGGTGCGAACTGTCCTTCTTCCGGACAAAAAGAATCAGATCTCCCCATGGAGAACTGCTAGGTCGAATGAACTGCTTGCCCAGCAGTTCCCGTAGCTATGACGATAGCTCCTACATCTCTGGTGGAGCCTATCGGTACGGCGCCTTAGCGATAGGGGCCGCACCTGGCACCAGGTCGATCCTGAACTCGACCTGCCTCTCCGGAGGTACTCTGGGTAATTCCTCCGGGAACACATCAGCAAACTCTCTAACTACCGGAACCTCTGAAACTGATGTCTGATCTCTCACCCCACGTATCTACCACATACGCTAGATAACCCGCACACCCGTGATGAATGTACTGTCGAGCCCTGGCAGCTGAACAAAACACTGATCCCACTCTGGCGCCCTCGCCATATACAATCAGTTCTCCCCCACTTGGGGTTCGAATTACCACTCGATGGCCCTCGCAGTCAATCATAGCACTGAACCGACTGAGCCAATCCATGCCTACAATCACACACACCTCCCCCATGGGGATCGAAATCAAATCTATCGGAAAGGGCACCCCGAAAATCTCCAACTCACATCCTTGGTAAACCGCAGAAGCAGAAACCCCGTGCTCGTTGGCGATAGACACTCGCAATGGACACTCTAACTCGCCTACTCGCACACTGAACTCCCTACTAAATAACTGAGATACGAAGGACCGACTCGCCCCCTACTCAAATAACACCAATGCGGGTAAGGAGTTTACTAAAAACGTACCTAATCACAGGCACAACGGATAAGCATATAACAGACATAATAAGTGAGATAAAGGATAGAAACATACCAGCAACCACATCTGGTGCTGCTCTGGCCTCCTCCGCTGTAAGCTGGAAGGCACGTCCCTAAGCCTTCGGAGGCTCTGCCTTAGCTGGCCTCCCATCTGCAATCCTCAAGGTAGCTGGAGCGGAAGTCTGTGCCGGCTTAGCGTCAAGCAACAGACAATTGGCCTTCAAATGGCCAACCTGATCACAATGATAACACAACCTCATACTCGAAACCGGGACGGGTTGGCGACAATCCTTCGCATAATGCCCCTCCTTTCCACACTTGTGGCACCCACTACCAGCTCGACAAACCCTAGAATGACCCTTACCGCACTTTCCACAAGTGCGGCTCTGCTGGCTCCCAATCCTAGAATCAGTGGTCTTAGACCGCTTTGGCGCCGGCTGTGACTTTGTCGGGGCCGTTCGCTGCTCCCTCAGCTGCATCTCAACCTCCAACTCACGCCGCCTAGCGGCCTCCTGCAACTCTAGTAGAGTATCAAATCATTGTGTGGCGACAAACTGACGGATGTCAGTCTTGAGCATGCTCAGATAACGTGTCATCTAAGCCTGCTCCGATGCGAACTTCGGGCAAAACATCGCCCTCTCCGTGAATACCCGGGTGATCTCCGTCACCGACTCTCCATCCTGTCTCAAACTCAAAAACTCCTGAGCCAATCGTTCCCGCTCAACCCGAGGAATGTATCGGGCGTGGAACATATCCCTGAACTGCTCCCAAGTAACAACAGCTCTCTGATCATCAGTGTACGACCCTGTCGTCAACCTCCACCAGTCCTTGGCCCCGAGCCTCAGCAGGTTCAGGGCACATCTGACCTTCTGGTCAGTAGGACATGAACACGTGAAGAAACAGCCCTCCACGTCAGATAACCACCTCATAGCTCTAATCGGATCCTGGGTACCATCGAATGTCAGGGGCTTCGTGTTATCGAAATCCCGGTACTGGAAGCCCCGACTGGCTCCACCTCCTCCTGCCGCTATTACAGCCGATGCAGCTGCAGCGGCAGCCGTCTCTGCAAGGGCTGCGTAACGCTCGTCAAAGTACTCAACCATAGCGGTCTTAATAGACCCAAACATCTCCGGTAGCTGAGCCCGGAACATGGTAGCAACCTCATCATGCAGGATTTCTCGAATCCTGGCATCCAACTCCTCTGTACCCATCTGCACCATAGGCTCCGGTGCTGTTGGCCCCTCCTGGCCTCTGTCCCCTAATCCTGATCTCGAACCGGATCCGTCCATAAAGCGCCTCGTCATCACCATTCTGAAATACACCACAGAATATTAGATAATCCATATAAATAACTAGGAGCCAACTCCCTACTAACCCTAGGGGTTATGACTTACTTGATACGCGTATGGGTCCTGTGCTTTCAGTAGTACGGGCCCAAACTACCTTCCACACCTACCCATATTTGTCTCAAGTATCATCACAATGCCCTAACAATATATGTAATCATAACGAGCGCTCAATCCTCACTCCTAGAGGAATGCTAAATATCACACAACTGGCCTCCCGGCCTCACACAGCCCACCCATCCCTGAAACTTCCACCAACCCTTCAGCGCCAGTGTATGCTAGCCATTCATAACGCTGGATCATATAGACTTTCAAATATCCAATCCTACCCTAATCCCTAATATAAACAGAACATAAAGCCAAATCAAACATTCTTAGGCTATAAGATCTTAATTATGTACGACCGTGATGTATATGTTGGGTTTTGAGCATTCTAACACTCCTATGGTGTACATGCAACCCTATAACCTTGGATCTATGTTTTCTCTATTATACATGCAAATATTAAATATTCCAAGGTTTCATCCTAACTATCATATTATGAAGCACCTATACTACAAAGTTCTAGTTAGATGACATACCTTTTTGATGTAGCTTGATGTCTTCAAGCTTTAAGAGCTTAGCCCCAATAGTGAGGAAGCCTCAAGTGGAATCACAAATCACCAAAACACCTTGGAAAACCTTTAGAGAATATGGATACTTGGCTCACACTATGAAATCGGTTATTGCCCTCTTTAGTGTATCCACACTAGCCACTAGCATAATTTCATGAACCATAAGACCCTTTATATAGTGTGGAGGATTAGGGTTAAACCCTAATACTCATGACCTTTCATTTCCTAGGATCCATGGGTTAAAGCTCCATGGACTATCCATGAAGACTTAGCCCAACCTAAATGAACTTGGCCCACTACACATATATATATCTAAGAGTCCATATTTAATTAGTTCCTTTTGATCACTTAATTAATTATAAATTAGTTCTTGATCAATACTAATTAAATAATATGATTATATATTAATATATTAGAACTTATAATATATTAATATAAATCATAAATATACTATTCTCAAAAGACTATCCATATAAATTGTGTCGGTGAAGTGCAACCCAAATGGACCATGCCGGGTCGGGTCAAGTACATACCAAATATAGTTATGGACTTAGACATTAATCCAACAGTCTCCCACTTGGATAAGTCTAGAACTATTATTGAGTATGACTTCAAAAACCAACTGGCAATCGTAGCTCTTAAAGCCGCTGTCGAACTCTGATCTTGTCAATGAACTCTGACCTTTGTCAATGACTTGTCCATTAGATAAGGGATCATATATTCCTCCATTCTAGATATCATATGGACTGAGACATGGATTATAATCATTCTCTCTGTCCATTTGTTGTTTCCCGATTTTCAGTTTATGATGACTGACTGATTGAACAAATCAAATCAGTCCTGGCTTGGCCAAGCACTCACATGTGTCATCGCTAAATCATCGAGGGGCCCATAGATATCGCTTTTATCCCGAAGGTAAAAGGAATGGATAAACTTCGACTCATATGGCTTGTTCTACTACATGTTGAATCATACACAAAGTCACGTTTTATAACATCGAGTTACCAAATGCGTTTTCGTGCAATCAATGTACAACCAACTCATAGTAACAACTCATATCTCTAGGTTTGAAGAATATAAGATATTATCGTCTCATGATCACTCGTGATAAAATCCATGAAGTGATTCAAATGAGCGCGGGTTGAATCCAGTACTCAGAACTTATGAGCACTCAGGAGTGTTGTAGCATAACTTTGTACACCAACTTGGACCTCTACAAGCCAACCCATGACAGTCTTGATTCATATCTACTTCCAACATATGACCGACTGTGGATGGTTTGAATAACTTAGTCATTTCGGAAGAATAACCTAGTTATTATGGAAGTCAAAACATGCAAAGTGAAACATAAGAATAAATGAATCAAATATGGTATCAAACCCTATGAATATAAATAAACACTTTTATTTATGACCATACTGATTACTCATTATTCATTGTTTCGGTTTTATCAACTTTATACTTGAATTAAAAACACTAGTTGTCCCATGCTCCAAGCATGTACACTATGTTTTTCTAAACAATAGCTTTGCCATACACCAAGTATGCACTCTATGTTTATCTATGATCCTTACTTTGTGAACTAGATCGATTGAACATAATTTCAATGATTCTCTTTTCACACTTCCAAATCCTTGTCGTAAATGTAAGAATTCCTAACATTTATCGAAATCTGTTTAGATTTTAAACTTATATGCACTGTTCCTCTTGTAATGATTATGCACAAAGCCACAAAGACTTGGCAACAATCATTACAGAGTATTCCAATGGAGAGAAATTCCATGGAAACGATGTCTCAAATTCAAAGCGCACTGCTTTGAACATGCTTCTTGCATTAAGTTTCTTTAACCTTACACAGATTGCTTCCACCTATGAAGACAACTCTATATTCCCATTTTGACTACCACTTCTGAACAAGAGTTGCCTCTTTTCAGACTATGTCAATATGGTCCTTCCAATATTAACAGTATACTTCCAACTGTCCTTGAGCAACCAATCTTTGGTAAACCTTAGATTGTCCTCGACAATTGCTTAATCACTTTAGTCATATCCAATTCTAGACATTTTCCTCCTTAATGCCACAAGGCATTTGTAAAATTCAGAAAGGATAAATATTATAGCACATGTAATCGATCTTGTACCCAAAGCAAATGGGACACGATTCATGATGTCTCACATAAAGACATGATTCTAGACTAGTCTTTTGCTACAATATTTTTATTTGCCATGTTTCCAAAATTTGACTACGAAGAGGGATGCCGTAATCATAATCGAATTTTGAGAACACAATATATAGAGTTTTTCCTTATGTTGAACCAATTCAACATGAAATTCATATATATATTCTTGACTAAAGATGATTAAAATCTCAATCTAAGCTTAAAATCCCACTCTAAGCCTTTTAGAATTGACATGAAGTATAATTTCCTCTCCCTTAATTATAGCAAAACAACTTTTTCAACCCATGCAACCTCACGAATTGAAACTTTTGTTTTCTATAATTAACATTGCTAACTTGCAACACTAACAATAATTATCATGCTCCCACTAACATGATGATTATTAGCATAACACTTATGCTTCCACTAGCTTTGACATGTACTCAGAAATCAGTTGGACTTCTAGAAATCAATACTTTATTGACTTTCTTACCAAAGTTCAGATTTCTGATACGAGATGCTTTGATAAAACTTTATCAAAATCATACACCTTTCCTTAGATAGCATGCATGTGTGTCTAAAAAATTTCAGAACTATGAAAAGGGATGCTGTAATCATAGTCTCAATTGTTTAGACCTTTTGCCATCTGCTTCAAATCTACTTGGTGGAAGTGTTTCCTCACCATCATTTTCATGAATCAGAGAGAAACCTTATGACCCTTAGATTTTATGGTGTATGTGTTCTTATCCATGTGAATCGTCAAAACCATAGTCACAAGACAAGGATAATGACAAATCCAAACTCATATGGACTGAACTTATGCAATCTTAACTTCTTGCCACCTGGCAGTATAGGGCCTGCCATTGCTTCCAAGTTGTTATGCAACCAATTGAGAACTTTCAAAACTCCTATGCAAAGCCAACTTTAACTAGAATGGGCACAGAATATGTCAACACGATAGGTTATAAACCTCAAGTTGTGTGCTAGTGAAGAACCTCAGGTTTTATTCTTGATTAGTTCTTGAAATTCTTTTTACGATCTTTAAGACTCCCACGATCCTCTTGACATATAAGACTATCTTGCCAAATATTCAAGAGATAGTGCGGATTCTTTATCAAGATAAACACTTCACATAATTGGCCTTAGTTGGTCTTTGTTTTATCCAAAACATCACAACTTACCAATTTCAAATGTACAAGAGTAGGACACTTTTACTCTTACATTTGACAAGTGTTTTAAACCTTTCTTTAAGATATGTCACTCAAGTTACAATCTTGGAGTTTGACTCTAAGAATTGTTTTGGAACGAAGTATGACTCATCTTCCTGATCTAACCATTTCAACAATTCATGACTCCTCTTCTTAGTCATAAGAATGCACTAAGATGACCTTTAGAGGACTAATTGTGATATGATTTCTAAATCATTAAGATGATCACGAACATGATACTAAAGTACTCTCCCATCTTTTCAGATTTGAGAAACTTTTATCTTTCTGCCTAATTTGATTCTTCCCATTCGTTCTGCCATACATTGAGACTTTTCCAATGTTTTAGAATTATACTTAAACTTGTAAGTATAACCATATTTACTAAACTTTAGTAAATCAAATAGTCTTAACGAGCTTTGTGGTGGACATGACCAGTGCACAAGAATGTGTACTCGATCCCTTTAGTCCTTCACTTGACTCACACATCCATGTAAACAAGTAATTAGTCTTGATTTCCCAATGCTTGAAAGTTCTCATTCATCATACTATTCAACTTGCATGATTCCAAGTTTCGGTCCAATTGAAACTTGGTCGATGAGGAACTTTCCTGATTTGGTAAATTTAGACACTACCACAAATGAAAGAATCAAATCCATTTTCCAATATTGCTGTCAGTGGAATCATATAAGCAACAATTTTCCACAAATGTCATTGTAAGGATACTTCAAATAAATAAAATTAAACAATTTTCTTTTATTTTAAAACTTTGCGGAAAAACTTATCCTTACAATCCATATGGAAAATTGTTGTTATCTATTCCTTAGCAATATATCATAACTTCTTAAGCAACTGCTCAAAATTCTGATGCGATCGAAATCCACCTTCGCGATCAGAATCAGCATATACTTCCTTTAAGATTTCTCTCTATTCTTTGATTCTTAAAACATCAACATGTGACCCAGTCACATCATGTAATGAGGATC